CCCAACAAAGTTCGAAAAAGCTATTTTAGCATAAAAGTCACAGTAAAGGTCACAAGGTCATTGACCTTGGTGTCATTTGAAAAAGCTTAATTAGTGGAGAACGCATACCAAGTATGAGGTCTCTATCTCTCATTGGCTCAAAAGTTATGGCGAAGATTAAAGTTTACAAACAAACAGACAAACAGGACAAAAACAATATGCGCCCCGATCTATCAATCTGGGCGCATAAAAAAATGTGAATAGAAACAATATATATATATATATGTTTGAAATTACAAACAAGCTATATTATACATTATAGTGAATGGCATTTGGGAATATGTGATGGGCAGCTAATTAAGGTTATTTGAAAATTAATGCTGAGTTGCTGGATATTTTCACAGTGGCATATTAATAATGTTTCTTCCACTAATTAAGCTCTTTCAAATGACACCAAGGTCAATGATCTTGTGACCTTAACTGTGCTATATGCTAAAAATAGCCTTTTTAACCCCTGCCATAAATTTTGATCCGTAAGAGACAGAGACTTATATTTAGTATGCATACTCCACAAATTAAGTACTTTCAAATGACACAAATATATTTCCAACATATATAGATTCAATTTTCTTTCAGGTATTCAATTTTATGCAATCAGTTAATTATTATGTTCATGCAATTGATAACATGCATTCATCTTTTCCTGCAACACCAGGATTATAAAGACATACATGTCTAGTATACATGCATCACAAGCACTAGTTGAAATACGTAGAATTTTTCCTATTTTATCTCCATAGAATCATTCATCCTAAAAGTATTAACGTTTTGACTTACCAATCAAGTCTGAAATACGACCATGAAAACAGAGTAGACATTCCTATAATTCTTTTAAAAGGCCATGCCATGGAAACCGCTTAAATTCTTTTTTCTGGCCATTCCACATTACTCAATCTTATTACTCATCTTGTCTAATCTTATTTTACACTATTTACAAATGCAATTTGGTCGAAAATCTGAAAAAATGTAGAGGTAATGAGTTGAAATTTTTGGCAATGTACCGGTAATGTTGACCTCCCCTTGATACAAGTCAATACTGTAGCAAAACATGCTTCCTTTTAAATTCCCTTCAATTTTATTTAAAAAGAGGAAGTAAATGACTGAGCATGCTCAACAAATGCCTAATGGTTATTTTTTTATCCAAGATGTTGCCAGAAAGTTTTTTCTGGCAGTATTGCCAGAATATTACCATAAGTTGTTGCAGCTAGCGGTGATATTTCACTAACCCAAAAAGCTTGTTTTTGGTGACAAAAATGTGTTGCTGCAATGTTGCCACAAATAGCGGCAATATTGCTGCAAACATTTTACTTTGGTAAGGGACTGTTTTTGAAACCTTTACTTCTTACGATGTGGAGTTTGTTGTCAACTCTCTCTTTGCAACTGGTTTCTGTACGATGCATATAATTATATTATTGCAAAGCAAGTGAATTCTATTGCCATTTTTACATGTTGGCTTTTTATTGTTTAATTTTTCTACACATTATTTGTATTCTGCTGGTACAAATATATTTCACCATTTATTATGCTTACATTGATAAATTACTTAAACGTATTTCATTATCATAAGCTTATATTACTTTATCTGCACAAATTAACTTTTTTAACTTTATTTCCATAAGTAGCGTTTCTAGAAATAATTGATCATCAATGGTAAAATAGATGTCTTCATCTAGAATGGTATCAAGATTATCATGATCATAAACAGGAAGTGCGTATTGCTTTTTCACATTTGAGATAACATCTCTGATACGTTCAAAGTATTGCTTATCACTAAGTAGGGAGTTGTTAAATTTCCAAAGACCCCTTCCCTTTTTAAAGTCAACTGATAAAACAATAACAGTATTTTATTGGTTGTTTTGCTTGTCAATTAAATTTTGCAAGACTCCCCACCCTTATTTATAATTCAAATAAAAGGAAATGCATTTGAAGAATATCATACACACATTTGTTTGGAAATATAGAGTTTGAAAGGGCACAATTTTACATTTTGATTAAATGAATAAGAAAAATATTCATATGGTTTTGCCATAACATATGGGGTTTTTTCAGGGCTTAATTAAACATTCACGATTTTAAGAAGGACCCATTGCCCATTCCGAAAACAGTTTTTGAAATAACAGTGCGTCTGACTGCCCGAGACGCATAAATTTTGCTGTGGGCTTACCAATTTGCTCATATCGATGCCCAGCTGGACTTGTTTAAAGTTTTCATTAATTCAAATTTATTAATTTGATTAATCGCTTCCGAATCAACTAATGGTATCATGAGCAGTACAGGATTTGTGATTAAAAGGGGGGAAGAGTGGGGGGGACATGGATTACTTTATTCAGGCAAGCGGTCTTGATAGTGATGTTCCAAAGTACAGTCATTTGTTAGTCATACCATAGTTTGAATGAAGGGGGTCCAGGGGGCAAAGCCCCAGAAGCTCCTGGATTTCGTGTGTTTAAGAGTGTAAAATTAGGCAAAAAAATAGTGGTATTGTACGAAAGTATGGCATTATTAATATAATACTTTCCTACAGCAAAAAATGGACACTATTAGATTCATATGGGGGGCGGGGGGGGGGTATCATTTGCTCATTGCTCACAGTACCTCTAGTTTCAAAAATCAATTTTACAAAAGACAATTATTTTCTCAGGCTGGTAGATTTTTAGCAGGACTGATAACTTTTACTAGCAGTCAGCCTGTATGTTTGCTGTCAATTTTTCTTGACTTTCCCCTTTTTCAATTTGAAAAAAAAATAGTCAATAGTGTCAATAGTCTGTGTTATGTATTATAAAATACCTGATCTAAATATGACATCCATAGAGGCGCTGAGACATAGAAAAAATTATGTTCCATCCAATCTCTGCCATGGCTTTCACTGCTTCTTGCTATGACTTCATGCATGCTGAGGTCGAGGACTTCTTCCAATCGACTGTGTATATTGCAGCACTAAGGGAGTATCGACGGAAAGGAGAGATACTCAACATACTGTAATCCCCAGCAGCGAGCTACTGTTCAAATTCCAGTACAAAATTAAATGTTTTTCCCAAAATTAACTGAATTTAAGTAGTTTTGATGTTACTGTTAAACAAGATAGCCTTTTTCAAAACACTCAAACTCTGTTCTCATTTAGCATGTCTAGGAAATAAAATTTTGTTTTTGTCGGATAAAATTAAGCAAATTGCAGGCAGTTATTTTTTTTTATCGTAGGCTTATAGCGAGCGCAGCGATTTTAACGTGTAAGAACAGAGGAAATTCTAATCTGTACATACGTCAGCCAAATTTCTTGCAACATTGAATTCCTGCACTACCCAATGTCCTTTGCGCGAATATTGCCGAATAAATAAATGAATAATAATATATATCCTTTAAGTTTGTAGAAATCTTTCAAAGAAACAAAAATAAGTCTGCAATGTTTTTCGACCAAAATCGCACTAGGTTTATAGTTTCAAACAGACGCTCGGCTGAAATCACACACATGACGTCACAGCTAGTCGAGAAGTCTCGTGCGGCTTGACGTTCGAAGTGGCTGATCTCAATTTTTTTTTTATGGTAAAACTGCGCTCGAACGGTCACACCGTAAAACATATTATTTTTCTAATAAACATTTTTGACTTACATGCCCCTTTATGAAAACCGGCAAAACTTCCAAAATGAAGATGAAATCACACACCTTAATCCTCACCTTCTAAAGTGAAGAGTTAAATACACTCTTTCCAACTCCTTTTACTAAAGAGTGCCAAGGGAGATAACTAGAATGTCATGTTTTTACATAATTTAAAATCACAATATCTATTCGTAATTAAAATAACCCATGGGTTTTTTAATTGTTTTTTACTCTTTGATACTAGATGTTCAATATTTTATAATTCACATTCAAGGAGAGTGCGGGCCTTCTTAAAAAATCACCTGCACGTACAGACACCTTTCAATGGATATTGTTGACTGTTTCAGTATATATTGAATTCATTTTTTAATCAACTATGCATGAAATCCATTTATAACTGTGATCAAGTATTTAGTTTGATGTATCTTAATGTAAATATGATAGTTTTTGAAAAATCTATCAATATCATGAATCACTTATTTTCATTTCTGCCTGGTTCTTATAAATAGCTGTACTTAAAACCAAAGATAACATAAAGTGAACAGACCTGTAACTTGGTTCAACTATACGTGCATTAAGACAAGGTAGGAATGACTCAGACATTATAAAAAAAATTAATTTTAGTTTGCTTCCTCAGTCTATGCACCTGATCCCACCTTTGAAATTCCCGGGAGGACGTATTTATGCCCTATTCAAAAATTTGTAATATTCTTAGTTTTTATGACCTTGAAAAACTAAAATTATGAAATATATTAATACCCATGGAATACAAATAATGTACATGCATTTATACAATAGAAAGCCAAAATGTGAGAATTGCAATAGAATATACATGTAATAACAATATTGCAATAATAAATGTACAGAACACAAATTTCTAGACTCAAAACACAAAAGTAACTTTAGATATGAATCATGTGAAATACTTGAGAGAATCAAGAGAGCTACATACACTCTGCCTGGGGGGGGGGGGGGGAGAATTCCAGAGATATCTCTGCTGGATATAATTCATTTTCCTGAATGCTCCTTTTTGCACATTTTACCCAATATCTGACATCTTTTACACAACTTGTTTAAAATATGTACAAGTAATATTAAAAAGAAACTTTATCAACTGCCATACAAATGAACAAATAAGGTTTCCATTCTTTATAGAGTTTATTCAAAAATAAACATGTTTAAAAATGATTCCCAAATTGAAATACAGAGATCAATCACATTTCAAACCCACACATTAAACATAAAAAATCACCACTAAAAAAATAAACAACAATAACAGCAAGCTGCCCTCAGAAAATAAATGATAAAACCTCTGACACTTAAAAACAAAACTGGAATATCACAGGATTTGAGGCAAATGGACCCAATTTTAAATAATCAGAGTTCAAATTCCATTTTCCACTTATTTAGGGCATCAAGTGTAACTCCACTTCCACCACAAACAACAACCAAAGCAGATTTAACTTGACCCAGTTTTCCCCGAGTTTGAAGGTCCTTCAGTATGCCACTGTACACAGCTGCTAAACTTGCACCACAAGCAGGCTCCACTAACTGTCGATGATCATCTGTGATATTTTAACACTATTTTATAAGGATCTACCAGCCTTCTATTGCATGTATTTTTGTGCAGTGTTTTTGTTTGTAAATTCAAAAGGTCAATATTAAGAAAACAGCAGTCATTTGAATGTGGAAGTAAATATATAGCCATAGAGATATTTGATACTTTTGAATAGTGTATCTATTATTGTTACACACCTCTTATGTTTAAATTCCTTCTCTTTCCTACAAGAAATATCTGAGCAAAAGAAGTTAATATTAAAAACAAAATATCTTACCGGCATACTTCAGACATGCATCTATAGCCTGTTTGTCTGTACAGAGCTGGGATATCACTGAGTATTTTTTACACAGATCAAATATCTGAGTACAAGGTGTGAGAGCACCAAGGCATTTGGCAACACTGTTAAATCATAAAGCATTGTTATAGAAGACAGTTTTACAGCATTGATGTTGTGTCTTATAAGAAAGTAATTATCATATAATTCGGCTAAAAAAACAACAACAAAAAACAAACAGAAAATAGGAAACCTTGTGATGGCTGGAATGGTGGTGATCTTGTCCTCTCTCAAGGACACATTCAGACAATCTGCCCCTACAGTCTCCATAGAAACCACTGGGATGTGACCCCAGCCTACCTTCTCCATACCCTGTATGACTCCACACAGTAAGCCCCCACCTCCGACTGAGGCCACCACTACATCAGGAGGGGACGGCAGCTGTTCTTTGGCCTCTACAACCAGTGACTCATGTCCCTCCCTGTAAAAGTAACAACATGATATTCAGTTGCTATGGTATAAAATGCAAACCACCCCCACATGCATACACACAAACAAATACACAATTGGATTTTCCCATTTGAATTTTTTATTTCAATTTATTTTTTTGCTTGTCAATTTTTTCCAGTTACATTGATTGTTTTCAGATCATATCCTTCCCACTTTCAAAAATTACACTTTGTGTCTAATTTAAGTCTAAAATTCTCCAAAGTGTAATGTTCCTTATCACAATTTACAAATTAAAAAAATGCAAATATTAAATGACAAACGAATGTCTTTAAGTTCACCTGTACAGAAACCAGCAGTGTCTGTTGAGACTGTAGCTCAACTGGTTTCTTTGAAAGAGAAAAGTTTTAGTGTCTGGACTTTAAAACTCTTTCTTTTCAGTTTCAGAATTATGTATCCTGATATTCAGAGAAAGCCTTTTGAATAACAACAAAAACATTATATTAAAAATCAAAAAATGATAAATAAAATTTATGGAATCCAGTTGTGTTCTAAATTTTAAAGAAAAAGCTCAAATATGATGGATGAGTAGGATTTTTTAAAAAATTGATTATGGGCAAACAGAAAATCAGACAGATGGATGAGAGACAGTACAGTACTCCTGGACCTGAATAACCAAATGAGTAGGGCTGTCACGGTTAACCGAAAACTCGGTTAACCGCTCCGAAATGGCGTTCGGTTCGGTTCGAGTCAGGTTTTCCGGAATTCGGTTCGGTTTTTTTATCTTTTATATAATACTAATTTGCTTGCAACACGCGTTGTGATTGGTTGTTTATTTCAATGAAGGGTTCTTTAACCAATGAAAATACAGGTAACATCGAAGACATTTAAACATGGCATACACATGTGGAAGGAAAACCAAATCACAAGTGTGGGAATACTTCACGTTTTGAATTTTCAATTGTTTGAAACAAGATAACTCTAGTCAATAACTTTATTTATTTTATTTTATTTTAAACGAGAAGTTTATTACTTTGTTATTTTTTGTTACATTTAACAACTTGTTCTGTTGAATAAAATGGATAGAAATTTGTGTCGGCAAAATAGTACTTTCTACAATGTCCTTAATCCTTATTATCCTTTGATATATATAAAGATGTTTTATTTAAATTCTCAAAATGAAAACCGAACCGAAAAAACCGAAAACCGAGAATTTATTTTCTGAACCGAACCGAACCGAAAAATGTCTGAACCGTGGCAGCCCTACAAATGAGAGGAAAAAATACAGATACAAAAGGCACATGCATCTTTAGAAGCCATGTTTTTCCATGTCAAAATGCTACATGTAAGACACTCAAAGTATAGAATAATTCTATTAAATACAATCTTACCAAACATCTGGGTGATCAAATGGATGGACATACAAACAATCTAGAAAAAGAGTTGTATTTGTATATTGAAAGATGACAAACTTTTAAAGAAAGTGCTTCAATGATGGTTTCATTTTTAAATTATTTTAATTTAAGTCAACAGAAAACAAAGAAAAAATACCTGGATCTTGTGCAATTTTAAGAGCAAACTGATTAGCTTCATCCCAAACACTACCATGGATCTCAACGGTTGCATCCTATATACATGTGTACATTTAATGGGAAAATATTTTTCATATCAAACTAAGAAAAAGAAAGTATAAACACAACCAGCATAAAGATGTAAATACTGAGAACATTGTAAACATATATGCTTCATAGATATAAACTTTATGTTGACTGATAGACAAAGTGACAGATGATAAATTACATTTATTTCCAACTGGACCTATTTTTTTTTTTATTTTGTTGATTTTTTTTCAATTTTTGTTGGCTGGTTTGGTTGAAGGTTGGGGGAGAGGGTATGGAGAATAAAGTGCTACCTGGTCTCTGAGTTTTTCTGCCACAAATGCAGGAGTAGTTGTAGGAAGAACAATGGTAGCAGGAAGTTTAAGGAGTCTAGCGGCATAGGCTGCTGCCAGGCCACCATTTCCCCCTGAGGCACAAACAACTCTTTTGCATCCCTTCTGTGCTGCCTGTAGAGAAAAAAAGGAACAGCGTATACAGACTCAACAAAGATTCACTCAAATCTTTTATTATTGCAGTAATAATATCACTGAATAAACAAGAATAGATATGGGTTACCCCATATCCAAAGATATTCGACTTTTAGATTTAATATGTTTAACAGTGTTTAATAACGTTTATAAAAATAAACTGCACTGTCTAGTTATTGAACTTGTGTAAATTTCGTGAGTCCTTAGCAATACGGTCACCCAGTCTCCTAACCATGCTAACAAACAGTACACATACCTATGTCCGCAAGACCAGTTAGCCTTGGTCTATACACACGTAAGTTGTCAAACGGACTCCCGCGAGATGGCAGACAGAACTTTTTTCATAATTAGATCACATGAATACAAATTTTGATTCATAAAAATTAAACGACTGTCAGTTTAGAAATCCCCGGCCAGTTCGGGTTACACATGTTTACAGGTACTCTCCCGATGTGTAGTTTGTCTACAC